ATCTCTGCTAAGCGATTTTGTCGCTATGTGATTTTAAAAAGCCCATAGAAACGCATTAAAACCTGTTTAATGCGTTCCTATGGGCAAAAAACTGACCTTAAAGAGAAGATCCTCCATACGGCGGCCATTTTCGCTGCCTCTTAAGCGACGAATCCGTCCCTAAACACAGCGGGTGGCCTTTTTTTTAACCCAGCGGCCATTTTGGAACCGCCGATTAGCTGTTTTAAAATCGTCGCTTTGCGATCATTGGTAAGCAAAACAGGGACTCGATAACTGCAAAGCGAAAAAAACCCATTTAAAACATCGCAATGCGATCGCTTTTGCAATCACAAAATCTTTGTTGCTATGCGGTTTCGTAGCTAAACGGAGCGCCCGTTAAGTGAGGCACCAGTGTACCAACCAAGCACTTGCCCTCCATCAGGTTTGAGAGCTTCTCCCTATGAGGTTAAGCCTCACAGAGGCTCTAAAATGAGCCAGCCGCCTTTAGCATCTTCAAAGGCTAATAGATTCCCTCAGCTTTTTCCACATTCTTGAGAAAAATAGAGGATTCTGCCAACACTTTAAAAAGTGGCAAGTGCCACTATGGATCCTTAACTGATATCAGTGGCAAAGGACAGTATTTCTCCTGACCCAGAGGATCTTCCATTGATATATACATAAGAAATCCACCCAAGACCTGGCATTTTAAATGTCTACTTCACCCATTCAAAGAACACCAGGACTTCTACATGGCTGCTCTAGATTTGTTCAGCAAGAAATTCAACACAGATCATTTCATATCCTTTAACCTCAAATTCTCCTTCATTCTTCCCAAATGGAAACATCAGACGCAAAGCAATGACTCTCCCATTTAAGGTACAATTATCTGGGAAGTGACGTTCTCTCAGCAATTATGAACAGCAATCGCTTTGAAGCAGTCAATGCCTCCCTTCCCAAATTCCTTATAGCCATGCCACAGAGGGCACTGATAATTGAAACTATAATAGTATAGCAGGCTCCAAAGTACAGACAGAATAAGCAATCAATAACAAGGACTAACCAATGAAAAGAAACCTCCTCCATTGCATCTGTACTCTGTTCAAACCCTTTAACACATAAACACAAATACCCCAGGTGGGATCAACAGTCTGAAGAAACAAACTAATGCATGGTTGTTGTGGGTTTTTCGGGCTCTTTGGCCGTGTTCTGAAGGTTGTTCTTCCTAACGTTTCACCAGTCTCTGTGGCCAGCATCTTCAGAGGACAGCACTCTGTGCTCTGGTGTAGTTGGCTTGGGAGTGGAGTATTTACGGCTGTGAGATAGGCTTTTGTCCTATTCAGGAGATGGCTTCAGAACATGGCCAAAGAGCCCGAAAAACCCACAACAACCATTAGATCCCGGCCGTGAAAGCCTTCATGAATACATTAAACTAATGCACATTTCTTATTTTTCTGGTGGTCTGGAGACCTGGATTTTGAATGGGTATCACAATGCACGTTCAAGGCATTCAAATACTGTTTCTTTCCAGCTCTGCAGTTCCAAAATGACAATGATGATGATTTGCACACTTGCCTATTCTGGGATCAGCAAAAGAAAGTCTCGCTTTCTTTCTACTTTGCCCCTCGCATCACTATGGCACACTGACATGGTACAATTAGCGTAAAAACACTCTTGCAAATTTATTTGCTTTGCCAACAAGTCGAAGGACAGGATATTATCTTTAGCTAGATTGAAATTTGAGGACATACTTTGGATAAGAAAGAGTAAACTCTAAGCCTGCAAAAAAGAAAAGAAAAAAAGAAAAAAAAGTGGGGTGGGGGTGGGGGTATTAAGGATATTCCCCAGGTAGGCAATGATAAGAGCCCCTGCAGCCTGTAGATAAAAGAACTCCCCTTCTCCCACCAAAAAAGATCATCAATATCAGTTTTTTTTTTGTTTGTTTTTTGCTGTCAGCTTTTCCACATCTGAAAACATGCAGATAAGGCATACAGCAGCAGGAAAACATTAAAACCACACGGTTGGACTTACAAAGCTTCTTCTATGCATATATACATCAAACCCAGAACAGACAAGCCATCTGGGAAAACTAAGGTCATGTAGAAACCTTGAGCGGTAGCAGAGTGGTACAATCTGAAGCTTTTTATGAGACGTTCACAAAGGAGTCACTTAAATGAACAAAACAGCCTTCCTGGCTGGAATGTCATTTGCAATTTAGCACCATTTGCCTTCTCTTCAAGAACTCACATACAACCAAGACCTCTCTGAGGCATCACTTCTTCATGCAAAGAACAATAAGTCTCCATTTCATGAGTTTCTAAAGCATCCAGACAGCGATCATCCAAAATAATCCCACTGAAGAATGGGAGAGAGTATGAATACATTCAACACAAGTGTTAGAATGCAACCTGACTAACTTTATCTGCTGCAGTGCTCCCTGGCCACACAGATTCATTCAGACTCCTTGCTTGCAATTTCTCTTAATGCACTGAAGACATTGCTGTTTAAGTTAGCTCATGGACATCTCTCAGAAACCCGATATCACTTTAGCTCTCTGCTGCATGTGCTATTTTTGTGCAGTGATAAAATGCCTTATGCTGTTTGTCATATTCTATTTTATTGTTGAATAGTCTGTTTGTACTGCATTGTTTTTAGTGCTTGTCAGCTGCTTTGAGGGCTTCTTCAGAAGTGGAAAGATGGGATTACTGCTGTTACTAACTACTGCTGGATGATTTACTAATAAATTGGCTTTAAAACAGGCCTCACACTTTGCACAGAGGCCCTCCTTAAGCAGAAGCAGAAGTTTTTTTTTTGTTTGAGCATCACCACTTCCCAAGCATCACCACTTCACAAAAGCTGCAATCATAATATATCTACTTAATTTATTTTAAAAAAATTGGGAATGGAAACAGAATGTTTTTTCTTCTTATAAAATCCATTTGATGTAGTACTGTAGAGAAGACAATATATGGGAGAAGCATCGCCAGTTGGTTTTTCTGTTTTTTGTCTTGTAGGGCATATCACAGTCTGCCTGATCTCACACTATAACAAAACATCTCTCACTCACACACACACACACACTCACTCACACACACATACACACACAGCCCTTCCATATTTTCCTGCATTTATGTCATGCTTCAAGATCTCCACATTGCCTGAAAACTGCCAATAACGAAGAGGAAGCAAACAACAGCACCAAAACAGCACAACTGAAACACCTGAAGTCCAGGCCTCTGTGTTCCTGTCAATTCTAATATCTTGGGATGATTTTTACGTGCAATCAAAGCCCACTTATCTCAGCCATGGAAAACTCCACTAGGTCATTTTAAGCCTGAGTTCTTAACACTTGCTGTCCATTCTGCCACGCCTTGCCCTCTTTATTCTATAAGCAGAAGTATCGCTATTTACTTTGTCCTTCTCCTTGTACTTCGGCATTCTGTTATTGTAAACATGTTGATTCAGATCTGTAGGAACAACTCTCATTAAGCTTGCATATCCCTCTTCTTTTACAATGCAGTCTGCCTACGGGTGGGTGAGACAGGTTCTATCTGCCTTACCCTTCTGAGGTTCCTTTTTTTTAAGATAAAAAAAAAACTTTACATTTCAGACAGATACACAGGTAATTTATTCACAGATCTTTCCCTGTCCATATATCTTACTTGCCGAGGAGCTTTCTTGTCTACACACCTTTATAAGCTCTGGAACAGCCACACACAGAGACAGAATGACAGGAAAGGCAGAGTCTTGTCTCCAGAAAGGACCCAAGAATGGGAAGAGGTTTTCATGTTTCTGAAATTATGTCTTCTAAATCTGAAGACTCATGTCAAACATCTCTCCAAACCGACCCTTTGTTATTCCTACCCCATTTCCGTGTCATAGATGAGAGCAGTCTAGTACTCTCCCCCCTGCAAATGTGTTATGTCTTTCCTCTGCTCTCCTATCATTGCTTCTATTGAAGGCATTTGCTTTGTGGTAACCTGTTGAGCTTAGAAGAGGCCTTGTCATGTCTGATACAGCAGAGCTTCCTCACTGCTCGGTATCTAGAACTGAGGCTTTCGTCCTCAGGCCTATTCAGGAGGTCACGTGCTCTTTGCCTTTCACACGGAGCCTCCAAAATCAGCTCTAAGACTCACTGAATTACACCGGCCCATCCTGCTATTTAAAGGAATGCTTTAGAAATTTGCTCATAGCTATCCTGCATTTTCTGGCAAACAAAATGATACACTTCAGTGAGGTGATGGCTGCGCTTCTGTTTCCAAATACAGTGGCACTAAGCACAGAGGTGACTCCTTGTATTTATTTATAGTACCTTGGTCCAGAGACCAAAACTTCCAAGATGTGGTAAAACCTGTTTCTACAGTTGTGAAGGTTTGACTGGTTAGCTTTAGATTGTTGGTGGGTGGTGGGGATGACACCAGTGCTTAAGTGCCTCTTTTTCTATCTGTTAGCAACATTTTTCATCTTTTGCTCTCCCACGAAGACTAGAATATTGTGGCACAAAGCATTCAACCAAAAGACAGTTGTTAAAAATAGGATGAACAAGTCAACTAAACGCATGTTCTATAGCAGAGCTTACATACATACAATTGCACTGGTTAACTCCTTCTTTTGTAATTCTTACTTCTTCCTTTCCTTCTCTCCCCCTTTTTCATTTCTTTCTGTTGAAATTTAGAGAGAAGCTCTCTGGGACTGGGATTTATCCTTTGGAAAATGCTGTTGATTAATGGCTCAGTCATATTTGGCTCCAAACCAAATATGGTGGAAGGGATGGAACTACCAGTACAATGTCATTAGAACATAATGCCCAACAAAAGGGCAGTTTCATAGACTGCCAAACTGTATCTCACTACCTTAGAAACTGCAGTTATTTCTAGCTCCCTCACAACTTCCTGCTTCTGAAAATTTCCAAAGTCAATCAGCTTATCTGAATGACTCCAATTGGAGCAGAAGTGAGGAGACATATTCTCCACTGTTCCTTTTTAAGCTATTCAAACAGAATTCATGGTTCATGTTGCACTTACCTCTCTTCTGCATAAAGACAAAGAGATCATCCAGGAATTTCTTCCGTTCAGGGTCGCTATCCAATTCATACAACTAGGGAAATAAAGCAAGTAAAATTTAGTTCATCTTGGGCTGCTTTCAAAAGATAAAGCAAGAGCCTATGTATGATGTATGAGCCTATGCAAGAGCTATACAGGGCAATCTAGGCCTTCTTTGGTGGTTGGGCAGCAGCTCAACAGAGATGAACGAACACACACACACACACACACAACTAGGATGAGGTTTGAGACTCTGTTCATAAATCAAGGCAACCTTGGACAGAGTCATTTTGGTGGTCACAAAATTGGCCTGTAACAGTCAGTTGTGAGGGCTGGAGATCTCCTTCCTTGGACAGAAATACTGCAATAGTACTGAATTTTTAAACTGGTCGTTGGCTGGAAAGTATTATATAATTGCTTGGATCTGCAAAAGAGAAAGCTAATCATACACACAAAAAGTAATTTCAAAAGGAACATATTTTGATCTCACCCCAAACAAGCCATTATTAGGAAGAGAGGACCCACCAAACCAAACCTTAGTTTTATCAATGTAGTCACAGTGTTTTTCTGACCTTGCTGCTTCCCTCCTATAAACACTGTACTATGATAATCTTAGCAGGCCTTACATGGAGGTGAACATTAGGCTAAAGCAAGCAAGCAAGCAAGCAAGCAAGCAAGCAAGCAAGCAAGCAAGCAAGCAAGCAAGCAAGCAAGCAAGCAAATAAATAAATAAATAAATAAATAAATAAATAAATCGTGTCACTTTAAAAGACTAACTGCTACATTTTAATGTGAGCTTTCATGGAGAAGTTCACTTCCTCAGAAAATTAGAGTGTCAGGTAGTGCTGAAAATAACATTTCCCGAAAGACTGTTCTTATGGAATAAGCTTGTTAAAGACTATGCAAACAATGGCCCATGGATAAAAATTCTGGAAAACATTTTCTAGCAGCACAGTTTCCAAACAGATACTTTGGGCTTAACTGTCACCAATGTGTAAAGCTCCAGCTGTCTTTCATGTTTAGTAGCAAAGCAAAGTTTTGTGTTCACAAGACAACGATCTCCATGTTCTCCTAGCTTTAGTAAAAAGGAGCTGCTGTTTGTGGCTACCACTGCCCTCTCCCTCTCTTTCCATCTCTGAGAGACTCTGAATCCTACTGTACGGTCACAGATGTGTGGCCATATTCAAATATGGGTCAATAATCACTAAAATATAGGCTCACCACCAGCATTACATCTCTTAATGTAGAATCCAGCCCTACTGACACACAATGAAAAAGTTTAAGAGCAAGGAAGAATGTCAGCTATCCTTTCTGTAGGGGAAGGCCAGCTAATGCACCCATACTTATGGGAAAGTGAGAAGAACAGCAAAACCTTGACGAAAGATACCCATTATCCAACACCTCTTCGTTCAATTTCAAAATACCAACAGACCCAACATGTACAGATGGGAAAAAAGAAAGAAAATCTTTCCCAAGATGATCCTATCAAGTTCCTTTAGATTTGCGCACTGGATGCTAGCTTAAAAATTCTCCTGTATCAGTGAAAACAAAACAAAACAATGGAAGAGGAGCTGCAAAGACCACAACATGTTTTAGGTGTACTGAAGGTCAGTTGTCAGGAAATCAAAGAGACATAAAGACAGAAATTTGTTTTTGTTCTCTTTGCTGATCCTACTGTCAGATGAGCAAAGGTCAGCTGAAGCACCCAGGCTGGGTAAAGGATGGGTCATCCCAGTGCTTCCTGGCCAAATCAGGATATACAGGAAAGTTGGTCTAGATGGAATGCATGCCTTTCATTAACATGCTCCTCTTTTATCTTTAGCCAAGCTCACTTGTTCTAGGAGAGAGTGGCAGATTTAGTTCCTTGACATTTCCTTCAAGTTACAGATCCACGTCCCTAATCATCAAGGAGTGGTCTCCTTGGTTACAACATGAGCACCATGGAGGCAATTCAAATGCTGTTCCCCACCAGGCTCAAAATATACAATCAAATCAAAATCACTGTACTAACCTTAGCGAAGTCTCGAGAGATCTCTCTCCCTCTGCTGCAATCAGCATCTTCGTTCCAGTTCAGGCTGCCATTCTAAAATTGGGGCAGGGAGGGGCAAGATGGGGGGAGAAACAAGAGAGGGGGTGATTAAAAAGGAGAGAGCAGGTAGAACATTATAGGAGGCATTCAAGTCAAGAAACAGGAAATCTCTGTAGCTGCTACAACCACCCTCTACGAGTTAATGTCAGCTAGAAACAAAAGCTTAACCCAACAGGCTGATTTTGATTTTACAGCTGCTACTTCTGACTTAGTGATAAGATTGTTATGTCAGAAAACCAATGCCAGCAAATGCCAAGGGTTTTTTCTGTTGACACCTGTACCTTTGCAAAATATTTTAGAAGTTTTTTCTATACTTTCAGTACCTTCTAATAGCCCACTAGGGTTTATATTAGTGGTGGGGAAATTCTGTCCCTGGAGTAGAATCTGGCCCTTCTCTCATCCCAAATCTAGCCTTCTTTTCAAAGTTGCCCAGACTTCCCCCATCACATTATAATTTGGTGGTTTACCAGATTTCTTGCAGTGGTCTCCCCATTCTAGAAGCTTATAATGCTCCCCCTAAAGCTTACTTATTGGCAGGGAGAGGGTTAACCTAAAATAGGTTGGTATTTTTGGTTCCTCTTTTTTTTTTCTTTAGTCCTGCCTTCCAGTTGAATGCAGCCCACCAAAATGTGTCTGAAATCAGTCTGAATGCTGAAAAACATTTCCTCACCCTTAGTTCATATCCTGCATTTTCCATACCCATTTCTCAATCTGTAATGCAGCATCACTGACAGATATCTTTCTCTAGTGCAACAATAACAACAGCAAAATAATCTTGCAGCACTGTGGAAATCAGCAGATTTATTTTCATTTCAGCTTCTGTGAATTACAATCCATTCCTGAGATTGCAGAACACAACATTCAAGCCTAATCCATGATTGATGCTCAAATACTTCTATTTCTCCTAAGGGTGCAACAATTTTTTTTTCGTTATTTGAACAGATCAATATGCTTATCATCCGAAGAATTTCCCTGCTGTGAGCACAAGGCTTTGTTAAAGATCATCAACATATTTTCCATTCCAACTCACCGTTCTCTGGTCTCTTCCCCCTCACTGTCCCAGCTTAAATTTGAACCTTTGCAAGATTCATATTATGGAACAGAAACAACTACGTATATGCAAAGTCTAAGGGGTATCCCCATCTGTAACACCTGGACTTCACAGGGTTAAGGTAAGTTATAGTGTCCTACCATTAGGACCTGCTACCACTGAGATCTATTTCACTTCAAAATGTATCATTCCAAGAGGAGGGCAAAAAACCTAGAGGAAGGGTCAGGGTACCATTTGCTCCTAACGATTGTGAGAACGGAAGGATAAATTCTGCAACAATCTGAACTGCAAACAACACGGTGTAAAAGTAGCCTGGGCAACAGACAAAAAGCCAACTGAGCGAGGTCAAACATCACCGGCTGGTTCAGATCACTCCACCCACCATCTGGTGGTGAGCACATAGGATCCTAAATCAGATAAAAAGCCACTGAATTCATGAAGGGATTTCCAAACAAAAACAGTTTTTAATTAGAGGCCACTTTAATGTCTACAGTCTTAGTGTCATCTGGTAGTGACATGTATACTGAATTACCAAGATGAATAGCTCCTGTCAGAGTCAGGCAAAGCTACATTCCCCTTTTTTCAAATGGCAGCCGGCTGTCCTAATGCCTGCTGATTTAGTTTGAGCCAGTAATTCCTGCTGGAAAGTCAATTATCTAGTGAGCCCCATCAGCTGAAAGATATTTAATGGAAGATTATTGCCACTTCTGTTATGTCAGCTGTTTATTACAGCAGTCAGCTTTCCCAACCCTTCTTAGGAAGAGCTTTGAAAACAAGCTTTGTTGACACTAGGACTCATCCGGGGACACTACATGTAGAAACCACAAACACAACTCTCCCCCCCCCCGCACCCTGGTTACAGTACTGGGTCAACGGTATCTTTAAAAATGTGCCTGCATTCAAGAGGGTGGCAATAACTCCTTCCCTATGAAGACAGGTTGAGACATAGGCACTCTGGATGGGGAAGAAAGGAAATAAACATAGAAATAAACAAATAAATGGGATAAGAAGGATGAAACAACAATTTGGGATGAGGAGGAAGAAAGAGGAACACATTTTCCTCTGTTAGTTGTGGGCAAAAGAACTTAAGCCTGAAATAAATCGTATTTCTTCTGGGTTTTCACTACTCCGTCATGAGCTGAAGGCAGCTCAGAGCTAATGCCAAAGAAACAATTTTCCACCATGAAGACCTTTGCTAAGGTTGCATCTAAACAAGAAGTTTAGTGGAGAGATGCAAGGGATTGTTTCCCATCCACTCTGGGTCTGCCTTTCAGAGTTCAGATGACAACAGATAAATTCCCATGGAAAACCAGCTGCTTTCACAGGAAATTTATCTCCCTGGTTTTTATAGCCCAGCACCACTCTGACTTTCTACAACAGAGGAGGGCAAATGTCAGATTTCCAGAAACTACTTTTTTTCTTCTACACAAACCAGAATCAGATATGAAACAGCAGTCGAGGGAACAGAGAAAAATGCAAAATGGGGGTTTGTATTTACAACCCCAACTTGGAAAAATTATTTGACCAATGTCTATGCTCACAACTGTAGTCCCCAACAGTAACTTTTTCAAGCTCTTCCAAATGCTGTAAGCTGCCCAGAGACCTTCGGGTAGTGTGGGAGGCATTTAAGTTAAATAAATAAATAAATTATCTACTGGACCCAGCTAAGAAAACTTGTCCTGCATATACACACTACGTTGCTATAGGTCGGAGCTTCTGAACATAAACCTCCAAAACAGTCCAGCAGTGATGCTCAAAGACATAGTTAAAGGAGTCAATGGGTATTTTACAGGAGAGGAGACATAAACAATGAGTACAATGTGAACCAAATAGGTATTCTTCAGCTTAGTTTTATTTGTCATTATTAAACAAATGAGAATCAGATCCCTGCACTTATCTCCAGCAAATCACTCAGAGGCCCAGTCTACCATCTGGCCATACCTTGTAATGGGGGCCTTGAACATGGACAAATACATGGGCTGATGGCAAACATAAAGACAGACACGTTGTGAGGAATGGATACAAATCTCTCATCAGGTGTCAAAACTGGCAACTGCATTGCCTTGCCAGGTTATCAAGCCTGGCAGTCCTCCAGGTGGTCCTCTGGTGCTAGATCCCCAATTCGTACTTCTCATGGCTTCTGCCTCAGTTGCTAATTGCTCTTTTGAGTCTTTGGACTGAAGAGCACAGTACACACTGTTAAAAAAATACAAAATTTTAAACTAAAAGTACTAAGTATGTTTAGAGGGACGTGGTGGCGCTGTGGGCTAAACCGCAGAAGCCTGTGCTGCAGGGTCAAAAGACCAAACAGTTGCAAGATCGAATCCACGCGACGGAGTGAGCGCCCGTCG